CTTGTTGTGTTGTCAGGTGGTTGGCTGCCAGAAAGAGAGGGAGGAGATGGAGAAGAGGAAAAAGAGTGATGACACACAGAGGATGTATAGCAGCAGGGTTCCTGCATACTATAATGGGACTAAATGGCAGAAGTACTTAATCTGGGTTTTTGCTTTAGTGGATGGTGAACTCACCTAAAGTCAATTTATTCACCCTTTTATGTAAGTGACACAGTGCTTATCCATCAAGGTGAAAATGGGTATATCTAAATTAACAACATACATTAACATAGGAAGTATTTGGGGAGGAGTTAAGATATTACAGCAATTATTAATCCTCTATTTGTGTACGTCATAAGTCATTTTTAAAAGGAGGTTTACTCAACTATGGTGCATAAATACGATCTACATACAGTCTCTGATATATGAAGTTACCAGTTTATTTGCGTGGAATAACAGATAAGATCCTAAAATATTAAGTACTTTGAAAAGTTTAATCCATGCCTCATATACAAACAAGCCTCATATACTGTAGACATGTAGTTTATGCTATATATTCTGATATTTAATTCATATTTTCACCTCTTATATATTGAATATTACATTTCCAGAAGACATGTAGCATCATTAGCATTAACTGAATGTTAGTTTCTGGCCACTTAATGAACATAAGTCTAATTTCTACTCATTTTCTTGCATCTCCATTTTGGTCTTCAGTTCTTGAGGAAAACATCTGGTTCTTCAGCTGCTCACCAGCTAGTTGTTAACTGTTTGGTGCTGGCCTGGTAGCGTAAAACATGGTTTATCAGAGAGTTTTTGCTTAAAACAGCCAAAAACAACGTTGTGCATGTCTTGGGAGTGAAACTAAAATGCTCCACAGAGAAACTCCAGGTTTGTCACATGAGTCATGTTGATTAGAGCAGCTTTACTTTTTATTGCAAAACATTTTTTGGATTGCAGGAAATCCACTTTCACAATAAAAAGTATTTCTTGCATTACTAAAGTTTTGGCAATTAGTTTCCTCTCTTCACTCCTGACAGCACTGCAGCTTGCTTTTTACCTATACTCCTGTTTATCTTGCTTGACTGCATCTTTAAGCTGTGCCTGGATCACATAGCTCAGATATGTGGTGCTATTTCTTTTTTCTGGATGACCCCGACACCCTCAGGTCTTCAGTCCCCGGGTTAAAACACTGGAAACAACCTGTAGCATTTGTTTCCATTTCCAAGATGAGTTTTGATCGACCCCACCAGGCAGTTCAAGTAGTGTCGGGTCAGATTAAACTCATGTTCAAAATGCTAAACCTCTGAACATTTGAAATTATTCATAGAGTATTGTGTTGGTCTGATCTCAGAGGAGCAGTAACCTTAAGGCAAAAAGAAATTGGCCTGTAACTGCAGGACTGCTGGTTCCAGTGCTTTGAATGTCTGGGAAAGTGGTGTCCTTCTTTCAGCTTGCATTGAGTTGCCCTTCAGCAATGTGTAAAACCAATAAATGTTCTGTTTGCGGTGTCCAGTTTTGAAGTAAGGGAGCCATTTCAGAAAAGAAACGTGTGGTTGACTGAATTTTCTTATTTAATAAACTAGTTTTCTCAGTTTCTGGACAAACTATTCGACCCAGCATCAGTGTAGATGCCTACAAGAGCAGCATCTGAGTGTTGCTGAGTGCCCCTTGTCTCTTTTTTACAAGGGGAACCATTAGCTACTGGATTTAAGTTCATAAATCTGAGTGAGGTCGGATCAGCAGGGAGGAGAATGCAGGCTCAACTGTTTAAGGAATGAGCCTCTGCTCTGGTCGCTGATGTTTAAGAAGATGATTAAATGTTGTTATACTTCTACAGTATGTGTAACCCTGGAAAAGTGACTGAGATTTGGAAATGTACAACAAACACATTGTCTTTATCAGCCTCAGTTTGTGCCTCTCATGTTTTATTACGATTACGTACAAGTCACAGTTAAGCATCCAATTTTTCCTAAAAATAAATATGTCAATCTTTGAAAAACCCAGAGGGTCATTTAAAACTTTTACTGCTGTTTCGAAAGTATTTCCATAATCCTCAAAGACTCTTCTAAACATCTGGATGATAAAGATTTGACTTGGCTTTACTCCGGGTTGAGCAGTGCTTTCAGCTAAATGCTAAAGTCAGCTAACATGCTCCAAATGACGAGAATAATAGTGTTTACCATCTTAATTCAGCGTGTGAGCATGCTAACATTTGCTAATTAGCACTAACCAGAAAGTGCAGCCGAGGCCGATTCAAATCTTATTAGTTTTGTTTGATATTTGGTCACAAAAGTACTGGACAAATAAAGATTCATGTGTATGTCTAATATCTAATCTAGATGTTTCACACAAAAACAAAAATGTCAAAACTCTTGGTGCTGCAGTAAAAGTCAGTTGGATAAATCCTCTTGGAACCATGAATGTTGTACAAAATTTCATCACAATCCATCAAATAGTTGTTTGCTAGTCTGGATGTTGTGTTTTCTTCTATTGGAATTCATAATAGAAACCTCTGTGAATCCAGACTGACCACAGGCGTTGTTTCACACTCAAAAGATAGATTTTTTTTAAATTGGTAGATCTGTTCTGGAGGAATTCCTCGAGGATTTTAGACTTTAGTTACTGGAAACTTTCTCCACAGACTACAAGTGGGTTGACAATAATAATAACCTGGGAAAAGAGACACAATTTCATTAAGTCGGCCACAGTATTACCAAATAGGATTATTTTCTTCTTTGCAAATCTCAGCGGAATACTTGTCCATGCAGGAATTTGACCAGAGGCATCAGTGCAGGTGCAAACTTTGTCCGTTTCAGGGGTCAAACTTATGACCTTGCAGACAAAGACACCTTCCACTGGCAGAATCTACCCTCAAGGAGTCAACTCATCTACAACTTTTAGATATTTCTTCCATCTCACCTGCAGGCAGCAGCGTCCACTTCCTGGACTTATACTAGATGTATGTGCATGTCGAGTCCCAGGTGGGGGAACAGATGGCTTTAATATCTGGGGACAGGCCCCTGGAATTCACCGGAGTTTGCTTGAGGAGAACTTGACTTGGGACCATTTTCTAGCCCTACACCTGGGATCCGACAGCTTTTCACGGATCACGGCGAGTTGGCTCGAGTTCAGAAAGAGCGCACAGGATCAGGATGCCAAGGAGTTTTTACACTTACTCTAAATAGCACCAAATGAGAAGAGAAAAGAGCAGGGTGCATTAGGGAGTGTCTGTGTTGAATTGATTTTCTCACGGTCTCACTCTTGACTTGCTTTCAACCCGCTTTGAACCTGGTCCTTTATAACCAGCGTCTGAACGGGCTGAGCTGTTGGACTGGCAGCGACCCCGGCTCGCCTGCCTCCCATCTTTGATAAACAGCTATGACTGCTGGGCACACACAGACCGCTTTCCAGCTGTTTGCGGTGATGGAAAGGAAACAAAGGAAAGGCTGTTGTTTAGATTCAGAGGATCCCAGAAGGACGGGCCAGGAGTACCACAACATTTATCATATTGTGGTTCATTTATTGTGTGTTTTTAATAACATATATGTTAAATGTTCAGGCTCAGGAGATTTTAAGGAGCTCAGTAGTCAGAAAAACAGAGAGGACTGAATCTGAGCCAGCCAAGAAAATTAAAATCAGACTGAACACGAGTCAGCTGAAAGCTTAACGGACATGTTCTGACATCTATACATCATTGTAAATGTTATATATGTATCTGTAGATCTGCAGAGCACCTGCTGGCTTTTATTTTGAGTGATCGAGAATGGGCAATGCTAAGCTCGTATACATACATGCATGTTACTTTGAGAGTTTTGGGAACCACCATTTTTTTAAACTAAACTGTAAACACAGTGTTTGTTTGGAAATATACGAGCTGCATCACGATTCTGTGCCCGAAGACGAGCCAAGATGATAAAGCCGATGCTCGCTGCTCTCTTTGAAGGTGATTTAAGACAGGATGGAGGCTTTTTTTTTACGGACAGCAGTGCAATCTAAATGTCGGGCTCATCTCTCCATGAGGTCTTTTTATGCTAACAATGAAGTCATAGGGGCCTGTCTGCGGCTTTTATGATGGTTTTGGAAAGTGAAGTTCAAATATTTAATCATAGCTACACTTGTTTCACAGAGATAAACTGGAGGGCGGCGGGCAAATATTTGCTCTCAAACAGTGTAAAGCTGGACCACTGAAGCACAAACAAACAGTGAGGGCAGCAGCTCGGAGAACAAAAAGGAGTGAGAGAGGAGGAGGTAGAGGAGGAGACTCAGGACATTGTTTTCTGTGAATCAAAAAATAAGCAGTTTGTTGGTTTTTTTGCTCAAACAAACAGCTTTCAATCTGCCTATTATATAATATTTCAGTAATAAATGTTGTTCTTTTTTGACACATCTTCTCAACCCAAAGGTATTCACTTAATTATTTTTTACTGAGGACTGAGAAAACTAGCAAATATTCACATTTAAGACACAAGAATTGTTGCTGATTACTTTTAAGTGGATCAGTTTTCTTCCAATTCTGCTCTGAACTGCTAAGAAGTCCTGAAGGGACAAAGAGAGAGCGCCCTCTGTCATCTCATCCTGAAACTGAGGCTCAGGCCAAGAATCAATCAAACCAAAAGTGTCTCAGGAGAAACCAAATAAAAAACATATGACATATGGGTAAGAAATTATGAACATTTAACCTTTAACAGAGACTATATAAATACTATAAAAGCAGGTTGACATTGACATTGATCAGTTTCTGACATATTCTGAAATAAAGAAAGATGATATATATATAGTATATATTCTTCAAATAGTTGCCCAAAAATATATAGATTGTGGGATATTAGCTCATAAAAAATATGCCAATTTCAGTGACTTTCTATAATACTGAGGGTTAATAGTGAACTTTTAAAAAATGCATGTGGTCGCTTTTCTTGTGTGTCGGATTTGGCATGCCTGGAAAGCGCCACTGAAACTAAAAGAGAGAGAGAGAGAGAGCATTCCTCTATAGCTCCAGGGTGATGAAGAGGTTAAGCCAGCCCCTCTTTTACTGCTCTCCCTCGGTTGCAGCTCATCAGTCCTGCGCTGCAGTCTCCAGCAGCTCCAATCTCGCTTTTACGCAGCAGACGCTGAACAGACATGGGCAGATCCAAACTTTAACAGCTCGTCTTTCTCTTTCTCTGCAACTCTCTTCCTCCTATCTCTTCCTCCTCTTCGCCTCCCCCTCTCGCCTTCCTCCCGCTGAGCTCAGAATGAAAAGCACTATTGGCAGCGGACGCATGGAGATCTAATTTTGCTCCAATTTTCGGTCAGGTCCGTGGAGGTTGTTGTTGGCTGTTGTTGTTTTGCTGTTCCCTTGGTTTTATGGTCTGCTCATGCAGACGGGAATGCGATGGCCACTCCGAGCGCACAGCAGCAGCACCAGGATTATTTCAGATCGGTGAGCAGCGAGTCCACCACCTACATGATGGTCCCGGCCGGCGGGCCGAGCGGGACGAGGCGCCGGGAAGCGCCGTCCAAGATGTGGGTGGCGATGGTGGTGATAGTGGTGGTGGTGCTGCAGATTGCCTCCACCACGGGGCTCTTTCTCTAGCTGAACATGTCCATATCG